GGGGTGGGATGGCGGCGGTGCCGGTCGCTCTACCGCTGCGGGCAGAAGGGCTGCGGCCCAGGGCTGGGCCGCGGTCACGGCTCTGTCACGTTGTGGTGTGCCCAAGGGGGAGCGGGGAAAAGGGCTCTGCCCGCTCCCCAGGCGGGCGGGAGGGTCGAGGGTAGGATGGAGGCGAGCTGGGACCGGCTCGGCCACGCTGAGGTAAAATGGCTGCCCTCAGGGCACAGGGAGCTGAATGCAGGCCTAGGTCCACTGCTCGGCCATACGAGCATCCTGCTTATGTAGCCCCTTCAGCAGAGCATTAAAGTTAAGGTTAGGGCTGTTGAGTGTTGTGGTCTTTTTTCCCCCTAACGCTGTGCTGCCCTATTTCTGAATGCTGTGTCGTGGTTCTTGGGGGCTCTTGCATCAGACTGATCTCATGGTCTCCTCTGGAAGGACACTCAAATTTACTTTGCAAGGCAGAGCACGATGACTTTGGGCAGAACAAACCTTAAGAATGTACTTGACTTCATTTTCTGTCTTTGTAAGTTAATAAGAGGAACAAAAAAGCATTTGAGGTTAAGGCAAAGTCACATCTCAAGTGGACATGTTTATGAAAACATCGTCTCCTGAGGGCTACGTGCTCCTGCAGAAGCACGTGCTTTATGGTGCGTCTTCAGAGGTTTAGTGTAGAATTACATGAGAAATGTGTACAAAAGAGGGCAGAAAAGGATTTCGTGGGGAAGAAGCAAGAAAGTGGTGTACAACTATGTTCAGAAATTATAATTTAAATAAAGTCAGTTTGAAGCACCGGTGTAGTCGTCTAGTTTGTCACGAAACCCTAGAAGATGTGTTAAGGCAGTAAATGGAACTTCAGATGAAGAAAGCGCTTCAGTGTGCCCCAGCCCCTTGGAGCGCAGCAGCTCTGCCCTGGCGCGTCCCACCTCGTCCTAACCCAACGCGACTCGTGCCTCAATGCTTGGAGTTCAGGTCGCAAATTGCTTTTGAAGTGAGATTTTTTCGTATGATCCACAAGTTGGAACAGATGTGGGAGGGATACTTCTAAAAATGTTGGAAATAGTTGTACTTTTGCAATCTGAAACTCTCTCGTTTATCCCTTGTTATCTTTTGTATCGGCACAAGCGAGTCCACGTGGTGCCAGAAAGGTTGAGTCACTGTAACCACCGTGATGGGGTTAAAGTATCTGAGTGTGTAGAAAAACCCTTTAGGCTCCTGAGTTAATTAAGGGATTTTGAAAAATGTGTCATGCCTCTACTAGAGTCTGTGATGCATACTTCATTTTTCATGTGTTAATTAAAAATGCATATTCCTCTAGAAAAACAGCAATCCTGATGACTTACAGTTAGAAAAATATTTTCAGTATAACGTCATAACATGTCTGACTGTTACAAATGCCTTTCATTTTTCTCTCATGTACGTTAAAGTACAGTACCGTGCTCTGCCCTAGTGATTTCTAACATTGGTAATATCTCTGTTAGATTGCTAGTGGTTTAAGTAAAGACTGCTATTAATCACTGAAAGATGTTATGAGAAAGCCAATCTTCAGAAGTGGTGGTTTGCAAAGTATAAACTACCGAGTATCTAGGGATTTTCTACATCTTTAAGAGAGTACGATGGTTTCACAAGTCTGTCTGTAGAGGAACACGAACTGGCGAGACGGTGACTGCAACGTGTGCCCTTGTGGTTCCAGCGTTGATCTACGTGACTTCAGTGCATGCTTCGGGGTAAATACGTTTTTGGAACTAGCACAATTTAACAAGCTAAGTCAGTTATTTGCCAGTGCAGTAGAAATACTTGTTGCATATTGAAAAAACAAGAAGAACAACTCCCCCCCCCCCCCCCCAAAAAAAAGCCAAATCTCAAAGACCCTGCGTATGCTCTCGCCAGGTGTAGGGAAGGGTCCATCCTTTGCCAAGAAATGAGTCTTTATTTTCAAAAACTTATTAAACTGCTGAAAGTTATTCTTAAAGGCATCATAAAATAATGGTAAGTTTGCCTGGTTTGTGAAAACCCTATTGCATAATTTCTTTTGTGTGTTAATAATCCTCATAACTGCTTTAAATGATTGCCTTAATTACCTTAATGAAGTGTCTCTTTATAGAAATATTGAATGTTTTCTTCCTCATTACCTTTTTTTGCTCTGTGTTATCAGCAGAGTGCTTAAAACAGTTGGATAAGCTGCAGAACATTTATTTGCTTTGTCAGAGTTGCTTTTGGCTTTCTAGCAAAATGTATATGTAGAGAATCATTAAACATTAATTATGTAGAAAATAAATTACTGGGAAGGAAATGGCAAATAATCGTGCTAAAAAATGAAGCCGACTGCTGTAAAATGACAAGCTTTCGTTCTCAAAATGAGCGTAATGAAAAACAGGGCTTTCCAACTGGGAATACTGATGAATAACGCCAATGTTAACCGTGTAACCCAGTATGGGAAGTGTCTGAGCTTGCTGAACTTATCCAGGTGGAGATACGCTGCAGAGTGCTTCGGCACAGCCCCTCCTCAGTCTGCTTTAGGCCTCCTCAGGCAGAGAAAGAAAAAGAGCAACTTTGGTTTGGCCCTTTCCGGCATTTTCACAGCCTTCCTTCCTCTCCCCTTCATTCCCAGACCTCCTCCCATGGTGTTAAAATCCACTCTCGCTTTTTGCAAAGAACCATCCTGATGCTGCAGGTGGGTCTTCTTGTGCAAGGATACTGAAATGCTTTATAATGGGGTCACTGCTCATTTTTATTTATGACGAAACAGAGGCATTGGAAGCAAGAGGTTTTCCCCAGAGGAGCTGGCAGGGTTAGGGGCAGAGCAGGGACCGCAGCCCGCGTCTGAGCTGGGTGGGTTGGGTTGCAGTTCTGCGTGCTGGCTTTCATCGCCTCGACCACTCGCCTGGCTCTGTTAGCGAGAACCTGTTTTTCCTCATCTTTAGTACCGTACGATCCAGCTGGGATTAGTCTTGACTAATCTTACTGTGTTGCAAAATAACAGTTCATCAAAGCTCAGATTGTCTGGAAGAAAAGGGTCATTTTTAAAACAATGTCTTAAGTTGTAATGTTTTTTTGGAGAACTAAGCTTTGAATTGTCCAAACTCGCCGTTTCCCTCCCATAACAGTCGTTCTGAATATGCTGCTTGAGTGGTTTCTTTTGGCATTTCAACAGTAAGATGAAACTGCACAGATAGCGTCTTTGGAGCTTGAAATATAGAGCTGACATTTTGGGGGCCTTCGATTTTAAATAGTGCCTCAATGTTATCAAAGTTATTAATTTGCATGTAGAAAAAAGATGCAAAAGACAGTCTGATCTTTTTCAGAGAAACTCTGAGTACATTGATAAGACAAGGAAAGTATGTGTAAATTTGAAAATATTTCCCATAAAAGTGGATGGTGGCAGAGCTTGTTTTATTTATGTAGATTTCTATGTAAGCAAAAAGACTTCACATGCACATGCTGTAGCACGCCTTGATGCAAACAAAAAACACAACACACTTTGGCAGTGTGAGTTTTTCCTGAAAGGACACACACAGGTAGAGATTTAAAGTAGAAAAGCCACCCAGAAGAGTGGGCTGCATCAACTGGCATTTTCCATAGGTAACACCACCTGAACTCAAATCACACCTGGAAGGCATTGTGAAATGCTAATTTTTAGAAATTCTGAAACGTTGCTCTTTTTTCTTCATTAGAACAGCTACACCATTACAGCTGTTAAGCACAATGTGCTCGGCAGAGCCGTGATCGTAAGGTGCCCCCGGAGCAGACTGCTGAGGTCTTCACGGGACCCTCTGGCGCAGCCTGGACCCGTTCCTGCGGCCGCAGCAGCGCAGGACCACGAGCCACCTCATCACCCCGGGCTGGTCTCCAGCAGCCTGCCGGGCTGGCTGAAGGGCCGCAAGGAAGCAGAATCTAGTTAAATCGTATGTGGTTATTTGTCTTGCTGGTAGCAATTAAATGTTAATTAAAAAAAAAAATTAAAAAATAAAAATCAGGGGGTTTGATATGATTTCTGCTGTCTTGTTTTTATGTTACTCTGATTTTCAGCACATGGTTTCAACTTTAATTCCCACGTGCCAGTGCACCATGTCTGGGGGCAGAGAGGGGGAGAGGCAGCTGTTAGCACAGACTGAAAAGTTTAAATGAGCCCCCCAAACCTGTTTTAATTGATTTCTTTCCTTGGGAAAACATTTATGTTCATACAAGGCTCTGCAGGCTCCTTCTGCCCACTCCCCATTGCTCCCTGCCTCCTGCTGTCACTGAATATTGCAGCAGCCGGTTTCATTGCTCTTCCTTCTCCCTGCCTAGCGACATCCTCCAAAGCCTAACATGGACAGAGGAAAATGAATGCAAACTGTTAATGAAAATAAACCTGCTAAGGTTTATTCCTGATAAGGAGTAAGTAAGCGAAAAGGAGTGTATCCGTTTGGGTTGCTCATTTCAGAAAGATCCTTGTGGTTAGGCAGAGACTGGCCGGCGAGGGCTCCCCCTGCAACCGCTCCTTCGCTCCTTTTTCTTTTGCTATTTTTATTTCTCTGTGCATTTCCCGGAGTTGCCTCCTTTCCCCTCGACACTTTCCCACACCCCAGTCGCGCAGCATACAGCCGGCTGAGCTGTCTGTGCTGGGATCTGCCGAGGACCCTCTGCCGTAGCACACGCCGGTGGCACGGCACCAGCGCCGGGAGCTCGCCGACCCTGCTCAGCACCTCCTTTCCCACCGCTTGTGCTTCGACTCAGAGCGAGCAATGCGGTCCTGGTACAGGGAACTGAAACAGTCAGTGGTGACAAAACACCGGGGAGGTAACGCCAAGTGAGCCAGCCCTTGCAGCGAGAGTTATTTATTAAACAGGCATCATTTTGTACGTGTCCATTAGAGGTATCGATAGCTTCTTTTTTGGTCTGTGGCATCTGCCACCCTCCCCACCAGGAAAGGGCAGTGCCGTGGCACAGCCGTCAGCTGCCCTGCTACGGGCAGCGAGAGCTCTGCATTTAGACGTTGTGGTGGCCATGCCGCCGAGCCTCAGGAGCGTGGGTAGAGCTGAATCTTTTTGTTCTCCAGAAATAACCCCAATTTGCTAGGCCTCAGTGGTTTTTAAAAGGAGGTTTTCCATTAGCTTTCTATCAGAGAGCTGCTGGCAGCGCTGCCGACGTCCTCCCTCTGAAGAGACGACGGGATGCAGCCCCCGTGGCATCAATGTGGATTTGCTGATTTTTTTGATACAAGGAAATAGAATGAGTGAGAAATGCATTTAAATTTGTTTCAAGCAGAATATTTTAAAATACAAATAAAGTTTTAGAAGCTGTTTCATTGACATGCGTAACTTTATGTAAACACTTGAGAAAGGCGAGGGATTGCGATAACCGTTTGAACACAAAAAATCACGCAGACCAAGGTAAGAGTGACACCGAGCCTGTCTGAAATGAGCTCAATGAAAGGCAAACAAACGAGGAAAAATAAACTAGTTGTTTATCAAAGGCCCGGGGTGGGAGCAGTTGCCAAGTTCCTGAGCTGTTTGCCGAGCCCAGCACCCCGGCTAAAAGGTACTGCGAAAAGGCCCGTTTCTGTTCCCACTGGAAATCCTGTTTCACAGCATTTTATTATCCAGACCTTCCCCATTTAGGTAACCTAATACCCCTAAGTTCATACCCCAGTCATTCTTAAAGAAGGTGAAAGGTGCAAAATCAACTGCTTTGAAATGAGCAAGTTAAAATATGTAGTCAGAAATTAGGAGTGGAAACACTCTGGCCATCTTCTGCTGGCAGTGGCTGTCCTTCACTCTGCTGTGCAGTGCAAAGCAAAAAGGAGACAATTTTAATTTCTTATATGGTATCGGGCTTACTGGTACCACGATAGCCCAACTAAAATGTGAAATGCAAAGAAGAAACCTAATTTTTTTCTTTTTCCTAATACGCCTTTTGGGTTCAGTTGCTTGAGGATAGTAAATAAGAATAGCAGATCATTGTAATTTAGAGGCAGCACCCAAGCATGAACACTGGAAATAATTTTGTTAGTTTCCCAGGAAGCATATGAACATTTTTACACTCTGAAATACCACACATGAGAAAGAAAGGATCAAAGGAGCAGTGAGCTTCATGGGACACGGAGGTCTGGGAGAGCTGGGCTGGCGAGGGCTGGGAGCCGCAGCACCAGTAAAAGCTCCATGGGAACCAGTTAACTGTAAACCCAACGCTTTGGATAATGTTGTGGTGTATCGGAGGACCTTACCGTGTGCTTCATTTGCCTTTCCATAACAGAGGTTTTCATTAGACGTGCACCACTTTGTGATTAAAGAGACACGGTGGGTGTTTTGCAAATGGGAACTGGATTTGCTGAGTTTATCCTCTGCAGCGCTGCTGTGAACTGAGAAAGCAGCCGGCGGGGAGGTGGGACACAACGGGGCGAAGCCTTTGCAGAGCAAACCAGTGAGAGACGTCGCGCTGAGCTCTTTCCTGCGCCAGCCCTCGTTTCTCCTCATACGGCAGGCCGCTTTCAAGCCCCGCAAGCGTTAGCGTTGCCTTTGGGGGGGACTTTGCTGGCCCCCGGGGCTGCCACCACCTACCATGGGTGCTCTCCATGGACACGATCCCAGGCACGAAGCACCGGCCGGGGTCTCCCGGCACCCCCTCCCCTCGTTCCCTGCGCAGGGAGCTGCAGCTGGAATCTGCTTGCTGTTTGAAGCGGCAGTGATGGATCGCCGGGCTGCACACACACACACGCTGCTTGAGGGTCCGTCAGATTTCCATTATGGCCCATGTGGCCGCAGCTCGCTCTGCCCAGGGCCATCCCCTGCGAGGCTTTTTTGCTGTTAACAGCGGAGGAAGAAAGAACAATAAATGTGTGCTGCTGGTCCTAGGGGCAAACATAAAGCAGTGCCTCCATATACTTTTGTTTGCTTCGAGAGCATCAAAGACGTCAGTGAGTATTTTTTTTCCTCGAGGGCTTTTTTTTTTTCTTTATTATTCCCCTTTTTATTCCTCCGCATCCTCCTGGGCAGAGAGCAGCTTTGCTCCCTAACCGATTGCTTCCCTGTTTGGAGTTAAACACAAGCTGAGCGTTGTGATGGACTGGGGCCAAAGTGCCCCCTGAGCACCGGTGGGACTGGGCTGAACTGGGAATGCACCTTCCAGACACCTGCATTGGTGGTTTACACCGAGGGCACGCGTTTGGCTGCAGCTCTGGCAGCGCCACGGGAACCCGGGGAAACCTGCTGTCTTCTTGGTGCTCCACGGCAAAGACAGACATGTTCGATGGTGGCTGACACACGGGCTTGCGTGGAGCCCAGCATGGAGGCAGAGCCACCTGAGGCCACCGAGGGCTGTTTCTGAGGACGCATGCCGTCTGTGCAGAGGTTTGCTCTCCTCCCACGGGTATTTGCTTGCTGTGAGACCTAAGCAGCTGTTACATTCCCTTAAAAAAACCACCACCTTTGCAAACTTTGGCAATGTATATTTTGTTCACTAGAAACCTCTGCTCTTTCCTTGCCATGAAATGCATTCCTGACACCTCCCCGTATCACCATGATCAACTAGCACTCCTCAGACCGGGGATGTGGCTGGACCCTGCCCAGTAATTTCCACTCTGGGGGGTGCTGGGCAAGGGATGGGGTGCACTTCCAGCCCCAGGCATGAGTTACATCTCGATAAATCAAGACTGGGCATGTTCTGCTGGGTGCAGGAGAGGAGCTGAGAGGAAACCCCAGCGCAGCAATGCCTGGACATGCACCCCTGGCTCTGAGGCCAGCCTGCACCAGGCTGCTCCTGGGGGCTGTCCTGCTGCGGGGGGCTTCCCCGGGGCCCGGGTTGTGTGCTGGAAGGACACCACGAGATTTCATAAGCAATAAAATACCAAAAGCTGAGTCTTCTTCCTGCCTCCGTACAACACACAGCCGGCACTGGAGCTCTGTGCTTTTTTGGGTAGGTGCTGTGGCTGTTTAAGGATATCTCCCCAACGTGGATCTATTGTGGTGGGTGATGTTCAGGTACTCAACCCTTCTTACGCAGGGCATTGCTTCCAGGAGGAAGAGCCACATCACTGCAGGAAAATGGGAATATTCCCTACATCCCAACAGAAGAACCACCTTGCACTTAGGCTGGAGATGCAAGCAGGGTTTCAGCCGACTGTTTATAAATAAATCCCTCGTGCCTAGAGAAGGCACTGCCACTTTCCGTACCATCACGCTTGTGGCAGGAGATGAGCCGAGTCCAAAGGGTGGTGGGGTCAGAGCCGCTCCGGTTTAGCATCACTTATTTTCCCGACTCGTGCTGAAGGTGCCAGAGGGAGGTGGATACGGGCTGTGCTCTGCTCTGTTTCCCTGGTCCTGCCCTCAAGCTGTTGCTGAGCCCTTGGGTCGTTGCTGGCGAGAACCTTTTCCCCGCTTTATTTCCAGGGCAGATTAAGCAGTAGGCAGAGTAGCCTTAAGCATTCCTCTAATTAAAACAAAATCCCTTGTGGCCTCTTATATACAGAGAGATATTACAGACTTAAGGGATGTAGAAAATGTATATTTATTGATTGGATCAACTGTTGCAGCTCCTTCCATAGAGTCCAGTGAGAGCATTAATAGATGACTGACCAGGCTGGCGAGGAGGGCAGGGAAGGGGGGTTTGGCTGGTACTTTCCTGACGCCAGCCCACTGGGCTCCTGGCCCAGGCACCTGTGTCACAGCGAGCCCCTGAATATCTGCCTGGTATATAAAATATATACACTTATATACATAGCTACTTAGCTAGGCATGACCTCCAGCGCCCATCTGCGGAGCCCCTCATTTCTGGTCTTGTTTTGCCGGGCTGGTGCTGGCTCCGGCACGGGACGCGCTGCCCGGTGCTGGGCTCCCACCACCGCCCATTTGCCAGCTGTGAGTTTGCAGAGTTGCACCCGCAGCGGGTTGTTTCTGGCTGCTTTGCTTCTGAGTCCACTTGCAATGGCCGTTTTTTCGATTGCAGGAATGGAAGATCATTTCTGGTAAAGCCTCGGTAGTGATCAAGGGACGTGCTTTCCAGTGAGAAACAACCACTCGAAAGCTTTTGCAGGCGGAGATTTTGTGCTTAGCAAGTTGCTCCACCACAGTCTGAACCCCAAGAAATGTGAGTGTGTAGTGGAAATGTCTGCAGGCCTGGATTAAAATGGTGCTGGCAGATGATGCTGTAACTTCCACAACGTAAACATTACAGAAAAATAGTGTAAATACGGGGGATTCTATTTTTTTTCCTCATTTTTTTCCCTCACTCAGGCCAGGAACTGCTAGAGCTCAAATAAATCACTGCAGAAGTGAGACTGACCTAAATCATTTTACACAGTGGAGACCTTGTCTCCTGCTTTTGGAGCTTCTCATATTTATGCTGTGACAGAACAGAGTTTAAGTTGTCTGTATGGCAGTAGCTGCTTCCTACACCCTGGGGAGCTCAGGGGAAGGTGTGAGATCGGCTCGCGTGTGGCAGCAAGGCTGCTGGGGAGACAAAACCACCAGCTCATGGGTGCTGGGGGAACCAGCGGGTATTTTTGGTGCTGCACCATCCGGTGCTTGGTGCTGGCAGGTTTCCCTGCCCTCTGCGGGGCTGCCGCTCTGCCGGGCTCTGCTTGTACCTGCATGAGCATCCAGTCGGGTCATGCATGAGTGCCTAATTAATTCATGCATAAGTGCCTAATCAGTGAATGCACAAGTGCCTGGTTAATTTACATTTGAGCACCCAACGAGTTCATGCATCAGCACCCAATTAATTCATGCATGAGTGCCTGGGAGGTGCATGAGTGCCCGACCAGTGCATGCATGAGCAACCGAAAAGATCCTGCATGAGCACCCAGGGAACCTGCACACAGATTCACAATTAGTTCACACATGAGTGCAGGATTAGTCCATGCATGAATGCCCAGTTAGTGCATGCATGAATGCCTAATTACTGTACACATGAGCCCCCAATTAGTGCATGCATGAGCACCCAAGTAGTTCATGCATGAGTGCCCAGTTATTTTGCATATGAATGCCCAATTAGTGTGTGCATGACTGCTCAATTATTTCATGCATGAGCACCAACTGATTTACACGTGATTTCCCAGTTGGTTCACCCCCGAGTGCCCAGCATGTTCCCGGAGCAGGGACAACCCTGGGGACTGCAGCCCATGGCTGACCCGCAGAAGGGAAGGAAGGAACACGGCAGGGCGGAGGAAACGCAGACAGCGGCACGGAGACACGGCTGCTGTGGATGTGCTGCAGCGGTGCAGGAGGAAACCCCCATCCTGCAGCCAGCCCAAAGCAACCTGGCATGCCTTGGGCACCCCTGAGCTCATCTGAGGGCAGCGCAGTGCTCTGCTCAACCACAAAAAACCAACTCTGGCGAGTGCTGTGGCTCACAGGAGGGTGGGGTAGATGATCACAACAGCCCTTTCAGCCTTAAAAATTTAGGAAGCCTTTGATGTGCAGGCAGGGCCCCTTGCAGATAAACCACATTGGGTTTAGGGCTTGTGCTGGAGCACCCAGCCCAAGTAAGAGGCAGGACAGAAAAGAAAAAATGGAGAAACTCAAGGGAAAAAGTAAAATTAGCATTCGTCCTTGACCTGGCCCTGCAAGCACACTGAGTCTGTGTCCCAAAACCCTCTGCCTCACGGTCAGACTGGGACCCCTGCAAAGCTCGCTGCAGGAGCAAAGCCGCAAGGCATGGTCACACAGCATGTGGCTTTGATATGACTTTTCCTTTGGTGTTCATGTTGTCTCTAAACCAGTTCTTCACTTTGGGAGAGATGGGATTAAAAGGAGTTCCCAGCTCTCGGTGCATCCAGCTGGTCTGGGAACCTGGGCTGGGGTGCTGGGAGCAGCAAGCAGAGAGCTGGATGGCTCAGCCCGGCCGAGCTGTGTCACCCCTCATCCCTCCACATGCACAAAGGCAGTTGTTGTGTTCCTGTGCTAATATGACCCTGCTGAGATTCCAGAGAAGTATTTTTATTTATGGATCCTGCATGAACTGCACACCGCAAGTCACCTGCAAAAACTTGCAGAGAGCAGATGACCTGAATACATATTAATAAGGCTCACAAGTCGTTTAGTATTAGTTTTTTCTATCACGCTTGCGGGATGGCAAGGAACGCACTACCTCGTGGAAAGCAATGTTTAGACAAAAAGCCATCTATAGCTTGTCACATTTTTAAGCCTGTTTGCCTTGGAGATAAGCCCAGGCTGCCCTGCCGTGGTGCCACGCTGCAGCTGCCTCTACTCCAGGACAGACCCCGGGAAGACAAGAAGCAATAACTCCCTGCACGTCGGAGCCACATAAGGGCCGTGTTGGCTTTGGGAACAGGGCATTGCATGGCTGGAGGCCGTGTTTGGGGGTTTCAGAGCCCCGGTGCGTGATGCTGATGGGAAGTGTGTGGCCCAGGCCTGGGTGGTTCTTCTGATGAAGGAGCATTTCTCCTTGGGCAGAAACACCTTGATCCCCTACGCCTGCTACCCCACTGCTCCTGGCAGCAATAACAGGTAGTGACCCCTTTCCCGGCTTGGGAACCTGGGGGACAGTCCTAGGTCTGGTATTCATGCACTCCAGTCTCACTCTGGACCGCAAGCCTTTGCAGATCAGACATGGGGACGAGGTGCTCAGAGCACCAGGCACAGAGAAAACCTGGTTCGCATTCCCTGGGGGATGTGAGAGAAACCCACGGGAGACAGAAATGTTCCCAGACTGGATCTGTGCAGTGAAGAGGATGGCAGGTAGTGAAAATGCTTTATTGTCCCAAATTTGCGAACAATAAAGTGGGGGACTTAGGGTCTGATATTGACGTTAACGGACTGCTTACAGTGATCAAACCCTCAGCATCAGCGGTGGCAGCTCCCCGCTGGAGTTTTATAGAGCATTTCCTTTTATAGGGCATTTTGGTTTTCCACGGGATTTATTCAGGTTCTATAGCAGGGATTCAGGGAGATAATAACGTACATCAACCAGGGCGCTGAAAACTGCTTCGCAAACAAGATTGATCAAAGCAGCCCAGGACTGATAGCAAACCCTCCGTAATGCAGTTTGCAAAACACTTGCCAAAACAATTGACTCCCGGTAAAAAATAACTCGTTGGGCAGCCTCAGGGGGGGCTGTGGCCATTGAGGGACCCGGCTCCAGCAGCCAGAAAGCTGGTGGCTGGGGACTGCAGCAATGCAGGGGCCAGATCCGGCTCTCCGCCTCGCCCAAGGCAAGTGCCAGGCTTTGGTATTGAGACATGAGCACCCAGGAGGAACCGCCGGCTGGATCCTGCCCCAGGATGAT